TTGGAAGACAATATTTAGAAAAACATTACATGGAGAGGAATGGCGGCATGAGCCATCCCCTTGGTCTCTCCCCTTGAAGTTTCAATAACTTGAACAACTATAATTCAACAAAAGATTCCCTGCTCAATGCACAAACATGTCTGAGAGATCCATGCATTGAAACATCTGAAGGTGGGCAAGTGGGAGCAAGCTGAGAAACCAAAATGGGAGAAAAGCTGAGATGAGCCACAGATGCAGCCCTGGATCTGGGAGTTCACAGAGGGGATCAGCCTGGAGAAGGGAGGAATCAGGTGTAGCTGGCACTCCCTTTGGCCCAGTGGTTCTCAACCTTCCTAATACCGTGACCCTTTAATACAGTTCCTCATGTTGTGGTGACCCTCAACCATAAAATTATTTTCGCTACTTCATAACTGTAATTTTGCTACTGTTATGAATCGTAATGTAAATATCTGATATGCAGGATGTATTTTCATTGTTACAAATTGAACATAATTAAAGCATAGTGATTAATCACAAAAACAATATGTAATTATATATGTGTTTTCCGATGGTCTTAGGTGACCCCTGTGAAAGGGTCGTTCGACCCCCAAAGGGGTCGCGACCCACAGGTTGAGAACCACTGCTTTAGCCAAAAGGAGCAAAGAGAATTAGTGAACATTCCTGCAGGAGTGGGCAGTATGAGCTCCAGCTGAGCCCAGTGACCTGGGCAGGGACAAAGCACAGAGGTGCAGCCGCAGTTGTCTGGCAATTGGCAACCAGACACAGAAACAAAGCCACAGTGCCTGGCCACACCTTAACCTCCTAGAGCTCACCTCCACTCATCCTATATGCCGGGTTGCAGAGTACTAGTATATTATCTGCAAGCCCTAGAACTGGAACTACAGATTCACTTTTTCCCCTAAGCAACAGGCTAATCTCAGGTTCCCGTGAAGGCGCAGGGGAAAACACCACAGAGGTCAACTAGTCACTATTGCTGGGAGGGAAAAGCAACAAAAGAGATAACCGATGACTGGGATCCCTCAGCTCACCCTACCCCCTGCAATCAAGGCTACACTGTGGATGGTATCATAATTAAAGCATAGTGATTAATCACAAAAACAATATGTAATTATATATGTGTTTTCTGATGGTCTTAGGCGACCCCTGTGAAAGGGTCGTTCGACCCCCAAAGGGGTTGCGACCCACAGGTTGAGAACCACTGCTTTAGCCAAAAGGAGCAAAGAGAATTAGTGAGCATTCCTGCAGGAGTGGGCAGTATGAGCTCCAGCTGAGCCCAGTGACCTGGGCAGGGACAAAGCACAGAGGTGCAGCCGCAGTTGTCTGGCAATTGGCAACCAGACACAGAAACAAAGCCACAGTGCCTGGCCACACCTTAACCTCCTAGAGCTCACCTCCACTCATCCTATATGCCGGGTTGCAGAGTACTAGTATATTATCTGCAAGCCCTAGAACTGGAACTACAGATTCACTTTTTCCCCTAAGCAACAGGCTAATCTCAGGTTCCCGTGAAGGCGCAGGGGAAAACACCACAGAGGTCAACTAGTCACTATTGCTGGGAGGGAAAAGCAACAAAAGAGATAACCGATGACTGGGATCCCTCAGCTCACCCCACCCACTACAATCAAGGCTACACTGTGGGTGGTATCTGATTGTAGAGAACAGTACTGGGATTTCATGAATTTGGAACTACATCACCCACTGCATTCCCCTGTGGGTTGGTCCCCTGAGACCAGAGTGACAGAATCATAGAGAAGGCATCCACCTTTCCATGGAGCACAGGCTATTTCCCACCACCCCACAGAGATCTGCAAAGCCAGAGAAGTGCAAGAGAACTAAAAAAACACTTGGGATTTAGCACCACCAACTGGAAAATAGAAAGACTTATCAATCTACATGCCACTTGTACATAGATGCCTAGACAGAGAAGGAATCCATCAAATGCCATGAACCAAAGTAATTACTATTATTATTTTTTGTAAATCAAATTATACCTATTTTTTTTGGTATGCCAAAGAATTTAGTAATTAGTTTATGCGTGCCATGAGATTAAAAAGATTGAAAATTGTTGACCTATACAATTCAATCTTTATGGAATTCAAATGTATTGTCTACAAAACAGGGTGATAGAAACTCTCCCGTATTTTTGTGAGAATTAAATGAGATAATGCACATAATTCAGTTAGCATAGTGTTTAGTACACAGTAAACAACAATCAGTGTTAGCTCATAATAATTTAAAATATAATTATAAGGTGAAGGAATTAAGAAGTACAAATTCATAGTCACAAAATAGTCATGAGGATGTAAAGTACAGCATAGGGAATATAATGAATAATCCTATATAATAAAAGTGTAATATGCTAATTAGACTGGACGTCCTTCTGGATGACCTTCTGGATGAAGCTGAGGCTGCGAGGGAAGCCCTGATCCCGGGTGCCTGGCAGCCGGAGGGAGGGAAACCCGGTTCCCGGGTACCAGGTGCTGGAGGGAAGCCGGTGCGGGCAGCCGGGGGAAGAAAGGCCTATTCTTGCATGAATTCCGTGCATCGGGCCTCTAGTATTGTAATACGTACGTATGGTGCCAGGTGGGTACGAGACTTATTGGGGGAATCGCTTCATAAATTACATAAATATCTAACCAGTATGCTGAACACTCAAAACTAATGTAAAATACTACTGAAAGTCCATTTTAGTTGAAAAAAAAATTTTTTCAAAAAAATTTTAAAAACCCAAACATATTAAAAACCCAAACCAGGAGAAACCAAGATGGCGGCATAGGTAAACACCGGAAATTGCTGCCTCCCACAACAAATTCAAAAATACAACGAAAAGACAAAACTGACATCATCCAGAACCACAGGAAGGCTGGCTGAGTGGAAATTCTACAACTAGAAGGAAAGAGAAAAGCACACTGAGACCCAGAGGAGCTGCAGAAGTAAAGTGCAGAGGTACAGAGGCTCGAGCGCGCGTGCACGCTGAAAGGGGCTGGCACCTGAGGACGCGGCTGTCTTTTTGAATCGGGAGGGAGTCACAAGCTCCCGACTGCTCTGAACTCCAGTTCCGGGAAGTCTCTGGGGACCCAGGGCTCATACAGGGAGAAACTGGACTGT